TTTAATCAATACTCCTGTCTTAGCCAGCCGAGTGGCTAGGACTACAGGTGCATGCCACTGCGCCCGGCTAATTTTTCTATTTTTAGTAGAGAGGGGGGTCTCACTTTTGCTCAGACTGGTCTTCAGCTCCTGAGCTCAAGCAGTCCTCCTACCTTGGCCTCCCAGAGTGTTAGGATTACAGGCGTGAGCCACCGCACCTGGCCTAATTTGTATGCTTGGCCTTGGTCAGAGTGAACTTAAACTATTCTGGATAGAATATATCTATCCTATTAGTCTTTCAGATTTTTTTTGATGAATTTTAGAGCATATTTTCTATTTGCTATCATCATCTTTTTGCCATTAATATAGCATAAAAAAATACCCAGCTCTCATATTTACTGCAGTAATCTTTACCATAACTAATCTGTAACTTTTTCTTCAGAATTAAAAAATAAATAGAGAAGCAAGCTGGGAATATGGATGAGAAAGGAAGTATGAAATAGTAATCTGAGAGGATGGAAAATGACTAGATTTGGGAAATATAGGATGATTGTTTAGCAACATTAAAGGCCTGCTTGAGGTTAGTGGTTGGATTGAGTGTGTTTTATAGTCATGACACATGCAACAGAGAGTTATTTTAACTGAGATAAAATCAATGTATAATAAGTAGATGTTCTTGTTAATATTTAACTGCAGGCTAAGGCTTGATATTAGCCTCAAGAGTTGGAGAGTATCCATTTTCAAACACCTAATTGAGTTGTGACTACATCTTTTTATTTTGTGGTTATTAAATTATGCTTATCTTATCTGGAAGGGTATGTGTAAACTCCAGAGAATCATCTTATATTTCTATTTATATTGAATATTGAAGTTCAACCTGGACTCATTGGTAAGCTGACATGGTTAGCAGGTATTAATATTTATTAACAGTGTGCATGTTTAATATTTACATATGCTTACAGGTAAAATTAATAAATGTTTAGTGAGTACCAGATGTGTACCAGGAGTTATGCTAAATACAATGCTATTTCTGCTCTTAAAAAACAGCTCTATGAAGACAAGATTTTTATCTTTTGTTCACTTATATATCCTAGACTAGTACCTTGACAATAGTTATATCTTGAATATACGAAATTTTATTTTTGAGGCAGTGAGGGAATATTTTTATTTTCATTTATGGAACTAGGACTGACACTATACTAAGCTCTTTATAGTATATTTACCTCATTTAATATTCGTGATATCCCTGTGATAGATTCTATAATTATCTCTGTTTTACATATAATTGGGGTTTAGAGAAGTGCTATTGAGGGCACAAGCTACCAAATGGTGGAGTTCAGATTTTGAGCCTGCTTTCTCTGCTTTCAGAGCAGTTGCTTTAAACTCTGCCATTTCAGTTAAGATGCTTTGGATGCGAGTTATAGAAATGAACTTGATTAAACAAAAAGGAAGAATTTATTATAAGGATACTGGGGTGTCTTGTGAAAGTCAAGGGCTATGCATCTAAGCCCAAGTTGGGACTGGAATCAGAAACTGAACTGTATCAGAGCTCAGAGAGATCTCTTTCTGTATATTTTCTTCATTTTTTCAACTCTTCCTCTTCTTTCCTCTGCCTTCCTGTGCTTCTGTAGCACCAGTCACCCACAGAAGTCACCAATAGGTTATCTGAGTCCCAGTTCCAAGTTGGCAATACTGACCAAGCTTGTGTCAGGATGTTCGCTCCTGCTTCAGTGGCTATATGGCTGTGTGGGGCTAGATTCCCAAAGTGTGACAGTGATTGCAAAGGGGCTACCTCTTTGGGTCTGAGGGTAGCTCTTGAGCTGGGTAGACATCATAATGACACAGTGATGTTCTGTCGAGTCAAATGTTTTTTAAAACTAGTCTATGACATCTAATAAATACATTTTTACATCACAACTCAGTGTTTTTAAGATGAGACTAAACCACACAATACTTAGTCTTGCTGTATGTGAGACAGTCTCATATTTTCTCTTTCTCTTTCATTCAAGAAACTTTTGGTTACAACCCATTAAGTTGAATTTACAATCCAGTAATGGACTGTGGGTTGTGACCTACAATGGGAAAATACTGTTTCACTGTACACCCAGAGGGGTCTAGATGAAAAGGTGTCCTTTGTTGTCTAGTCTGTGGCATTGCCTTGTAAGTGAGACTGCCTTGTAGTAAAATAACTTTGATCATTTAAGTAACTGAATCTCAGCATTGACCTACTACTTCTATTTTAGGGAAAGAATTTGCTAATAACATTTTTCAGAGTGAATTAAAATATTCAAATTTATTTCTATTGATGACCTGTAAAAAAAAAAAATCAGTAAAAATCTCAGTACTCAGATCATGTCCTATTTTCCTATTTATCTTCTTCAAAAGCACTTGTGGTAAGCTGCTAGATACTTAATATCACATTCTTTCTTAATAACTGCATCTCTAAAGCATGTTTTGATGTTTATTTTTATAACTTCGAGGGAAAGAGAAATGAGAATCTCAAATTCTTATTTTCACTTAAAAAAAAAAATTGAGACCAGAGAACCGAAAGTACCAAACTAATCCTCAGTAGGCCTTAGCGTAAGGTTTTATTTCTGAAGGCTAATAATAAATAATTTCATGGTTATTTGATGATTTTAATCATATAAAACATATCAAGAACCTGAAAATAAGATAAAGAAAAACACATTTGACCAGTCTAAATAACATCAAATAAAACCCATGATGCTTAGCCCTATTTACTGAAAGGAATGACTCAATTTATTATAGCGTGGGGAAGGCTGAGTCCAAAGTTCCACTGGGCAGTAGGAATAGGAAGGGCAAACACTCATTCATTCAGCAAACATTTATTGTGTTCCTTTTATATAGGGAGTTTGCATTTGTATTTTCCTCCTTTCTAAGAGGAGAAGGTAGAAATAGGGATTTCATTTTCAGACCTACAAAGTCTCTATCCTGGCTTCTGTCATCTCTGCTTATCATAAAGAAAGTTCATTGTTTATTTTTAATCACTACCAAATTGGCAGATATTAATAGAAAATAACAACCCTCCACTGAGATACAGATGCTGTGATAGTTAGCAGGGTTCACTCACTATATTTATATTTCCATATAGCTTCACCACAGTGAGATTTTTGGAGTCTCTTGATTCTCAAGTAATGGTAAATTGGTAAATGCCAAGGATCTACTGTATTGGAATCTAATTAGACTTTTCTGATATTTGAAATAGAAGCCTTGTTACTGAAATTCTTATGCAGCTATAGAGAGAGAATGAATCTGTTTCCTTCCGTTTGCTCCAGGTGCTTGGAGATGGGAGAAGAGAATGTGAAGGGAATGGTCCTTTGCTGCTTCTTTCCCCATCTTCTCATACCATCCTGTAGCTATGTTTTAAACACAGAACTTCACCTACTTCTGCATAGTCATAACCCTCCTCCCATCTTCCTTTGTCCAAGTGATAAAATTTATCTCTTACCCTTTGAAGTAGAAGATTTATGCCTCTTAAATCTGAGGGGCTTAAAACTTTTTCAAGTCCTAACTGGGTCGTTCTCATTTTTGGTTCAGCACAATTTTTTTTTTTT